TGATGACTAAATGTGAGCTCTTCAATTTTTGTTTAAGTATATACAAGTTCATATAAACTATGAAAAAACAAAATAGTTTTTTTCTGTTGCTGAAAAAACTCGTTAGGAGAAACAACCTTAATTTTCTGATTACTTTATAACTAAACTAATTTGTGGATAAGAGTGCTTTTTTTATATTTGATAGATTAGGAAGGTTTTATTATTTTTTGGCTGTAATCAGATCAATCTATTTAATAGTTGTCAGTAATATTTGTTTCTAAGAAAATAATAAGAAATCTATATATTCGTGTTACATATATATTACTTACTTACGCCTGTTACTCCTAATGGAGCATAGGCCGCTGACCAGCATTCTCCAACCCACTCTGTTCTGGAACTTCTTTTCTAGTTACATCCAATTCTTGTTCATTTTTCTCATGTCTATCTCCATTTCTCGGTGTAATGTGTTCTTTGGTCTTCCTCTCCTCCTTTGGCCTTGAGGATTCCATGTGAGGGCTTGTCTTGTGACGCAGATGGGTGCTTTCCTCAATATGTGTCCTACCCACTTCCAACACTTCTTCTTGATTTCTTCCTTTACTGGGATCTGGTTTGTTCTCTCCCACAGTAGGTTGTTGCTAATAGTGTCTGGCCAACATATCCGAAGTATTTTGTGTAGACAACTGTTATTAAACACTTGTATCTTCTGGATGATGGCTTTTGTAATTCTCCAGGTTTCCGCCCAATACAGTAGAACTTTCACAGATTGAAATCATGAGTCAGTTGAAGCTAGGCCACCATGGAAAACCTGGAAGCACTGGACGGCCCTTTCGTCCTAGTATGGGACTCCTCAGCAGTGCGCATCCACGATCCCGCACCACGCGGGGCTCGAACCCAGGACCTACTGGCTTCGCACGCGAGCACTTAACCATTAGACCACTGAGCCGGCATCCAACGGTTTTAATGTCTAACTTCAATCAATCCACGAAGTTGCGCCACCGTACACCATTGTCTTCAGTGAGTTCCTATCTCACAACAGACCTGGTTGAACTCCACAGTAGAACTGTCTTGACATTTGTATTGAAAATCCTGACCTTGGTGTTGGTTGACAGTTGTTTTGAGTTCTAGATGTTCCTCAGTTGTAAATATGTTGCTCTTGCTTTGCCGATCTGCGCCTTCACATCTTCATCAGATCCACCGTGTTCATCAATGATGCTGCCCAAATACGTAAAGGTTTTTACATCTTCCAAATCTTCCCCGTCAATTGTGATTGGATTGGTGCATTCTGTGTTGTATCGGAGAATCTTGCTTTCCCTTTGTGTATATTGAGACCTACTGCTGCTGAGACTGCTGCTACACTGATCGTCTTCTCCTGCGATAGGTTGGCCAGATCATCTGCGAAGTCCAGATCGTGCAACTGCATCTTATCTATCCACTGTATTCCGTGCTTCCTTTCAGATGTTGACGTCTTCATGATCCAGTCGGTCACCAGGAGAAAGAAAAAGGGTGAGAGTAAGCAACGTTGCCTGACACCGATCTTTACTTCGAACGAGTTTGTCAACTGTCCTCCATGCACGATTTTGCAGTTTAATCCATCATGTGAATTCTGTATGATATTTACTATCTTCCGAGGCACTCCGTAGTATCGAAGAATATATATGTACCTATTCTACTTGTTATATTCATCTTTTCAAATTACTACGAAAGAACGGAACTATGATCATAGAATTTCAAGAAAAGGATAGAAAAATTTTAACTTGAATATATAGACAAATATAATTATTATTAGTCTATAATGGAACAAAAGGAGTAATGAATATAAACATATGCAAAGAGTTGAACGGAAATCTTAAAAATAATTAACACATAGATACTATAGTGATTCGTCATTTAACGTTATTGATTTTAACATGTGATTTAGCTTTTCAGTCCGAACCTAAATCTCTTTATTATATCAATAAATTTTGCAAACTAACAGTTTGTGAGTTCTTGATTTAATACCACGAAGTGATAGGTAGGTAACTATTCAAGTGAATATACAAATAAATGCATGTGAGCCCTTGAAATACAACTCTTTATATAGTTATCACTTTAAAAAAAAAATTCATTAATTAATTATTAAACGTGAATGAAATCTCAGAATTACATGAATAGAACCATTTGCTTCTTTTACAGTATATAAATCTGTGATGATTAGAGGTATTTGAATTATTGTATGAATTAAGAATCTCAGACATAACACAATTTAAGGAAGAAGAACAAGAAGAAGACGAGCACGTACACGAACGTATTGTATTTGGAATTTGAAATCATGTAGTCAGCAATTACAAAGGAATCATTAGTTCATATGAACACTACAAAATCACAATTTCAAATATATTTTACCGCTTTTCTTAATTCTCATAAAATCAGTATGATTGTTTTCATGTTGACAAAACCATTTGCTTAGATATCAGTCTTTTTTCTATGAACTATTTTTTGGAATTCTACACAAGGATGATACAGTTTGTTTACAGAAGGATACAAAACTATTTTGTGCATTTTGGCTTAATGATTAAGCAAAAAGCTTTCTTTTTTTCTGTATAGCTGCTTTTAAAACGTATATTGATCATTTAGAATGTTCACCTGGGTTTAACCATGTAACTAATTTAATCTAAACATTCTGAGTTTTTGTCGAATTCGGACTATTATCACTAATGGCTAATATATATTGATTAAAAAGGAAGAATGTGTTTGTAAAATCTCAGCGAAAGAATTTGAAGTAATTCCAACGTTTCGCCTGGCAATCTGAAATTACTTCAAATTCTTTCGCTGAGATTTTACACATACATTCTTCCTTTTTAATGTCTCACATTAACTCGGCGCCCAAATACTGTGAAACTATTCGTTCAAATTTAGACGAGTTAGGAAGTTAGCAACTACCAACATTATATACGATATTTTTTTCATCATCAATATATCCCATTTTCATGATGTATAATGATTCATTTCAAAGAGCATCAAAATAAAACTTCATCTACATCAGAGTGCATATTAATCATATTATTACTATTATTATTTTAGTCATGAATGAAGATCAACGTAGATTATGGTACATGTATACATCGCTTATAGTCGCCATAACCCATTAACGCAGAGAGATCAAACTGGCAGAGCAAATATCAGACTAGCAATAGTATTAACGGTAGTATAAAAAGTTGAGCATTTACGATACAATCCGAGAAAATATAAGTTAATCAGATGATAATCAAATAAATAAAACTTAGGATTTGAAAGAAGTAAAAGAGTATGTGCATCTGAGCCATTACGAACAATTTGTAGCCATATCCTTCAAAGTCTCTAAACACTGGCCACGATAATCACGTGGACCCAAATCACTTCTTCAATGATCCTAATTTGTACGACCGATGTCTTGAAGACACCTATGATCTCATACTAGTTACCCACAAGTATCCTTTATTTTTAAATTAGGACTGAGCAAATGGATATCTCGTCTAGGTCAAAAGTGGAATATGTTGTCAAAAGACAACCAGGCTCCCCTAATTCGTACTGAGACTCCGTCAGACACCAATACGCTAGGGTTGATGAGATATACAAAATAAGTAATATGATCGATACACAAAACCATTTCAATCTCTATGCTTTGTCCAAGCATCATTTTTACCTAATAGCTTTGAAATATCCTAGTGTTGTATATTATGCATTCTAAAGTTTGCATCCTATTACATCCTTCTGTAGTGGTAATAGTACAGCCATTGTAATTGATGTAGATCCCTAATGATTACGAAGATTGAATGAAACTAGTAAAATTGTCTAAATTAATATATATATATATATATATATATATATATATATATATATATACTAACAACATTGGGTGCCGGCTCAGTGGTTCAGTAGATTAAGCTTTCGCGCGCATGACTGAGAGCCCTGGGTTCGAATCCCGCGAGCGGGATCGTGGATGCGCACTGCTGAGGAGTCTTACAATGGGACGAAACGGCCGTCCAGTGCTCCCAGGTTTTCAACGGTGGTCTAACATCAGTCGGTTCATTATAATAAAGTAAAGTAATATAATTAGTGGAAATGACTCAGAACATTTTGCTAGTATCAAAATTATTTCTTTTATTGAAATATAATTACAGCAATAATGTGTAGTAATATAATGAGGTTAATAAATGTACATTTGATTAAATTAAGGAAAATGTATTATTAATTATCAGAAAAAGGTCAATGAAATATTATTCTGAAGTAGTTCAACTCTTAATGTCTATAATTAATACTCTTGTGTTTTTGTAATTTACCAATTTCGGATACCTTCAAACAATGTGTGTCAAATTATTAAAAACAATCATTTGATTTTCATATTGCCATACTTAAATACAGTAATTAAAACCATTGACTAAAATATTGTATGGAAAGGTTTGTTATTAAACAACATACCAATGAAGTATGGTGACTTATTAAGGTCTCCATATTCATATAATATTGATATTCAATCAGTACTTATTATTGTTACAGTTAAAGAAGGTTGAGTTTATTAGTTTGTCTTGAAATATCCTGTTATTCAATTAAATTAACAAATCAACTCACAAAACACACTCGATTCAAAAATCATTGGAACTCTGAGATTTTTTGATATAATCCAATATCTGCTGTTACGTATAATCATGAAAATACCAATTAATAACTATTGTCAATTCTAACTGATGTATGTATATACGTGTAATGTATTAATTAATTAATTTATTTATTTTAACACATAGATATTGGTACAAGGTGGCACCAAATACATATGTGCCACACAAATCTCATTTGATATGTGTGAGGGCTGTGATATTGCATGGGTGTCCAAACTGAAGCAAGTGGTTTTCTTAGGGGGCCACACCCGGAGCCTTCGACTTGAAGGTCTGATCCATAAGGCAGTGGAGCATCGTAAGGAGATGCAGTCCCATGGTAGCCGATGACCAACGATTGATTCACACGCCATTTGTTCCTTTAGGATACTGGAGCCCATGTACACCATTGGTTTGGGATCCGGTTAAAGCTCCGGACATTCTCTTTTCGTCCTCTCATTTTCGTAAAAACAACACCCTCGCCACGAGAAGGCAATGAGTAGAACTTCCCTGGCAGAGGCTATATACGCATGGTCATGTGAGAGCATTTGGAGAGGGAGAGCGGACTCTCCCCACTCTCGGCCGTACCAAGGCATTTGGGGGCTTATGTATTAAACTTTGACCTGTACAGTTTTTTCGATGAGTAGCAACATTATCCAGCTATTCAAACGAAAGTAAATGTATTATAATCCAGTTTGGCAACTTAATAAAATCAAGATGAGTAGTTTAAGCACTAAGATTGTTTTCAATAGAACTACTTAAATTTAATAGTTAAGCATAATTTCAAACTTAATTTACTCAAACTTATTATTCTTTTCTAATTTTTTTGCAAAATCATTGATAGAATTGATTTTCTAAAACTGTAACACATTTAGCTTTATCCATGAACTAATTTTTATTGAAAGCCTAATGGATGATAAATTGAAACGTGTTCTTGAATGAATCGATGACGACGGAATTCCGTGAAGAATACTTTTTTGTTTGCTGTTTCTTTAATGCTGTGTAATTTTACAGTAATCATTTTTATCGATTCTTGAAACCCATTAGCCTAATAATGTCATACATTTGACAAAGAATATTCTCACTAACCGTAAATGACTGTCACTTCATTATGTAAATGAAGGAATACTAATTAATGTATTTTAAATATAATTACATAATTCCAGCCACGAATGGTTAAGTTGATACAGAAAGGAATAAGACGTGTAAAATAATAGAAATAAATTATTCGAAGAGTTGTGGTTCACAGATTATTTTAACCGAACGTTAGTTATAACAATTTCGATAATGTAAATTAGTAGTTTGTGTCCGGTGATTTTTAGTAAGAGGACTAAGACATCACGTTTAAGAGTGTAAGAAAGCGAGATTCCAATACCATTACAAGGTTTTTAGAATCATCTACAATTAAAGAGAAATCTAAAACCAAAAGCGCAGAATTACAACAACAATTAGTGTGGTAGATCTATTGTCATATATGCGTTTGGTCATTTTCTAACTTACTATTTTAGATAGATTTTAGTCGAAACAATCAACTGTTCTACGTGAATGCTTACTATAACAAGATCAATAATAAAACTAGAATATGGAATGAGTTTATTCAGGAATAGCGTAAGTGCTAACAAATGAAATATCTGTACGAGGGTAAATTCAGTGTATATACTTAGTGTAGTGAAGGAGAACACAGGTAAAAACAACCGAATTATATTTCAGAATATTAAAGATACCCATTGTGAAAATTAGAACAACACATACAAGCGAACAAGTGTTTTCATTTAGATCGTCATCACGCTTCACAGAGTTACTCGGTAAAATAGAAAAACCATACTATAGTACTTAATTTGCAGAATGTTCAATAATTGTCTCGAACGTTATTGTTATTGCATTTCCATACTAATTGCTTTCTATTCCCGCTATTCCTTTCTTGATCTTCCCAATCTTCTGCTGCCAGACATTACATTCCTGACTCGCGTCATATACTACTTATATCAATATAAGTAGCACGCACCACATTAGTAGTAACTCTGATCTTTATAATTGTACTAGCCAGCTGAGATACATATTTGATGGTATATACATTTTAAGGCAGTCTAATAAAAGAAGTAATTGTCAATGAATCACATATACTGTGATAGTATACTTTTGTTGTTGTTGAATAGATTCTGGTAAATCTATCCACAAGGTTTTCGATAAGAATTCCCTTAAGTACTATTCAATCATACTGATATTCAACAATCTCTCATATTCATCGTTTACATTACAAATAAGCAATTCACTGTAATAAAGTAAACAGTAAAAGGATTGTCGATAAATAAATAAACATTTACTGTCTAATTGACAATGAAAATCAATATTATTCATTGATCTTTGAGCAACAACAACAACAACAACAACGAAGCAATAGATTTAATAACGTGTACATTAGTTTATTTATTAAATCACAACAAATTAAGCAAATTTTTGTTTCTATGAACAAGCTAATTAATAGTTTCTCATTGAAATTGCATAATGCAACTATATTATTGAACAAGTTATCTTTTTGAAGAAAATTAAATGAATAATAAACAATGAAATAAGAAAGATTAGAATTGTCATTGTTTTTTTCCAATGATTCAATTGAGATATTTGTGAATACATACTGTTGTACCTCATATATATATAAATGACCAATGAAGTCCAATACCGTGTCGGGTAGAGACAGATATTCTATTGAACGTAATACTGACTAGTGTTGGGAATGGTTGGAAGAAAGTTAGGGTCGGCCAAGCCAAAACGTAGCATCAGTGCTTGAAAGTACTAACTCCTAGTCTGAGCCATGTTGGTAGAAGCAAAATACTTACTTGGGGCCCGCATGACTATCGTAACCAATGGTCGGAGACTTTGAGTGACATGGCTCAGAATCGATCACAACGGCGTAGGTCTACATAGTTTCTGTCCTCCCTTAAACTATGAGATTAAAGTCGCTTCATATCTTTCTTTCTACGAACTAATTCTTTCTTTCTTTTGTATATTACACCATTGAATAAACTACTTCTATGGATCTGGTATTCGTCTTGCTATGCTAATGAAGTATAGCAACTTGGACCGATGGATATATGTGCCTAGTCCTATGTTGTAACCGACTGACTGACTGATAATATCATGGCATTAACACTGTTGATGGCAAACTCAATAATCGAGAAGTTGTGCGTTTGCGTAAGAAATTGAAGGTTCCGGGTTCGAATCCTGCGTGCGAGATCGTGGATGCGCACTACTGAAAAGTTTTATACTAGGAGTAAACGGCCATACAATGCTTCGAATGGTGGTCTAACTTATATCGACTAATGAATTTAACTCTTAACAAAATACAAATACATTATAACTCTTCTCGTACATGTATTAAACATTATTACTATCGGTATTTCTGGAGTATAATTCTGTCAAGAAAAAAAAGCAACATATTTGTTATAATAATGATAAAATAAATGTGTTAATATATGCGTCTGTTGATAAGTAGACATTTTATATTTTTCTTTAGAAGGAAAAATCCTTAACTTTCTTACATGGTTATTGTATATTTGATGTATGATATTCATTAAATAACCATTTAATTGAATTACTCATTAATTGTTGTTTTAATTAATTAATTAATTTTTATTACATGATAATCAAAAGATAATTTGCAATTGAATGTTTGATTTTAGAATGTATCCAAAGATTTTACATGAATATTCTGTCGTTTATATTAAGGAATCACACAGTTTATGTATAGCATTTCAGTAGCTTTTCTTTCCCACTGATTTATTTATATGTACAAATTCAAGGTTTATTTTGAGTGAAATTATTATTTACATAATATTGATATGGGTGCATTATTTATTTATTTATTTAAACACATAAATATTGATACTTAATGGCATTAAATAGATATTTGCCACATAAATCATTCGATTTATGTGAAGATTGGGATACTGCCCGGTTGCTCAAACCGAAGCAGGTGGTGGGAGAGCTGGCTCTCCCCACTCTCGGCCGTACCAGGACATTTGGGGGTAAAATCAATAACAATTATATCGACTCATTGTTTTCATATCTTGAGTTAAGTAAGCATTACTTCATATTTTTTATCTTTTTTTTTCTGGTTTATAAATCTTATGTTTAGCTTCATTGATGATAAATATTATAATTTCTGCATTTCTGTTTCCAAACTGATCAAATTCATTTTTTAATATTCGATCCAAGTCCTATATGTTGTGTTTTTGACTGACTGATTAACAGTACTGCATTAATACGTATTTTATATTCCTATTTTATATTCAGTTTTGTTTCTAGGTTGCAGTTAATGTTATGTGTCTTGAAGTAGTGTTCAGTGTAGCGTACATGTGGGAACTTGAAAAATAGAAGATCGGGAGAAAAGAGATCTAACAATACAATATACTCTAACGTTTAATAATGAAACCAATCGATAACAATCAGCAATAAAAACAACATAAAATTAAGAAAATCTTAAAAAGTTGGTGTAAATTGTGATCAATAAACGGACTCATCAATGATAAAGTGAAATGCCCACCACCACATTAACTTTCCTTGACTTTGTATGACTATGTCTTGCTTATTCACCAATCACAATTTTATGTTCATTATAAAACAATATTTGCCTTGTTGACTCATTTTTCCTATGCTCTAGTTACTGTTCGAAACAGATAAAGTTTATCAAGCCAAATAGCTTACTTGTTTTGACTTTGGTTAAACCAAGACTCTGTGCTCGACAGTCTAGAGAATAGCTTAGAGTTGCACCTGTAGGAAATTACTTTTTACAGTTGGAACTACGTATATATGTTTCTTTTTTTTTGTAAAACATTCTAGTTGGTTGTTTTACGTTATAGTAATGAAAAGGCCCCGCGTTGAACGGTATACTTGACGTTTTAAATGAATACAGATACATGCACCAGTCAGTAGACTGATTGAGGGTTAAAATAAGATTTTTATTTTAAATTGGCAATATTTCTCTATCGCCTAATACATTTTCAGTGAAATCAATTTGTTTTTGTCCTTTATGATGTTTCATTTTCCTGACTTTATTATCAAAAAGAAAAAGAAATTCATTTCAATGATTGACATTCCAGTAAGTCCTCCGGAAATCCTTTATACATGAAGTTTTATATTCATATTACGATAAATTATACAATTTTTTTCTTAAAACATAATTCATTTCTAAGGGAAAATGTTTTGTAGAGGGGTGGGGGTAAAGAAGAGTTGTAAGTATATGTTTCTACGGTTACACTTTTTTCCCAATTAGTCTGATTACATTATTTCCTGCTGTCTGAAAAACATGTGTCTTACATTGACTTGTAAACAAACTGACTAACGTTTCGTTCATGTTACTATAGTTGTGTCATAGTCAAGTAAACTATATACTCCGTTTGTTCAGGTAAGATAGATACATTCGTCAGAGTAACAGTAATATCTATAAAACAAAATAGTGTCAATATCAACAAAATGTACATTTTAATATTCATTTTAAATGTAATTGATCAATGGTACTATACAGGCTTTACAATTCGAGTTGCTTTGATAGTTTCTATATCGATTCAATCAACAAAAAATTAGTTTCGTTGAGTGTCACGTGGAAAATCAAGAACTTCATTTTTCAAGTAAATTATAATAATTTCAATAGTTAGGATCATGAGTCAGTTGAAGCTAGACCACCATGGAAAACCTGGAAGCACTGGACTGCCGTTCCGTCCTATTATGGGACTCCTCGGCAGTATGACTGAACTCAGCTGGAAACCAGTAGTTCCCGGGTTTGAATCTCGCATGGGGCGAGGTCGTGGATGCACACTGCTGAGGAGTTCCACAATAGGGCGAAATGGCCGTCCAGTGCTTCCAGGTTTTCTATGGTGGTCTAGCTTCAACTGACTCATGATCTTAACCATTGAAATTACTATAATATCCACAAAACCCACCTGATATTAAATTATAATACTTAGGTGAGACAGTTTTTTTGTACAATCTTATTAACAATCTTCGGTCTAATTTTACCTTATATTCTATCCAGTTGTTTTTTTTTACCATGATCAATAATATGCTCTACTGATAATGTAGTTTGGGATTCTCTTCTTTAGTGTTCTTTTTTATTCAGGTTTTAAATGATATTAGCATTGTACTGATGTTCCCAAAGTTATTCTTGCTTATCAAGCTATTATCCTAGTCTATGGGTTATTTGTTGAATTTTAAGTTATTTATCGTTGTGAGGTGATACCATTTGAAGTGATTGAGACTAGGGAAATAGTGAGAAGTTTTCTTCTGTTTTATTTAAAGACTTCTCAACAGTTTAAACCTATAAATCTGTTTAAAATTGTGCTAAACATTCGTAGATTCGTGTTGACCATATTAACTTTGGTTGATTAATAAAGTGTCATAAATTCATATTTCCAAATTTAGTCCACTTGCAATATCACCTATCTGTACAGTTGGTATGTGTCTACAGATAGACTATCTGAAGTTTTAATGATACACTTTTGATTGCGAGGCTGACTGTGAAGCAGTCAAACATGGATGACACTGATGATATAAGATCGTCCATCAAAATTCGTCTCAATTGGTTAAAGTATCCTCCATTCCATGAAAACTGAAAGTTATTTTGTTAAGGTTTAAGTTACATACTACTGTGTACTACTTAGATAATACGAAAATACTATAAAATCGTTTCTATTTTTCTCCGATTGATATTAGTTTGTGATGTAAAATACTTTCGAATTGAAAGGAGTTCAGTTTAATGACTTCCTGTAGATTTTTCCATAAAATTTAATTTGTATTATCGTTGATTATATAATATTTTGGTATGCAAGATATCTGCATGCACAGCAATAACATTACATTTTTGAATAAATATAATGGTAACTAAACTTTTTAATTGTAACATAAGTTAAACCTATCAAAACGTGTACAGTTTATTCGTATATTGATTTCTTTAATGCACATTCTCATGCACATCCTTTTCAATTCCTGTTATTCATTTTTTGGCCTTACTTATGGGGTAGGATACGTATACGTTGATTTGTAGTTGCTCTGTTAATCTATGTTTAGCATGTACGCTGTATCAAGTATATTCCGGCATTTTGTTTTCATTGATTTCACGGGTGGAATCTGTATATAAGGGCGCAATGTTCACTGGCGATTTTGCTTTAAGTTTCATTTTATTTGCTTTTTCCACTCGGTATATTGATATGGACTACAATGTGTTGTTCATAAGTGGCCTATATGGATAGCTTTAAATGATTAAAATGAAGTTTCCAGTGAAAATCATACTATTATATGTAGCACACTTAGAAAATAAGCCGAGAAATGATCGAAAACACTAAATTGAGAAAAAGGAATGGATACCGAAACACTTGTTAATTGTAATCAAAATATTTGACTAATTTGGTTGATATGTTCTTATTCACTGAAGAAAAAACATCATCTTGCAATAATTTAGATACATGATAGAATTATATTGAGTGTAAAGTAGCAAACTACAATGAATAATGAATATAGTTATTTAACTAATTAACTTGAGACGTATTGCATTTAATAGACAGTATCTACCTTGTGTTAATGATCACCACAGAAAAGAATAAAATTAAGACGTATTTCGTCCTCACTCAAAATTTATTTGGTCGGTTCATGATTTCAATGAAATTCAACAATCTCTATAACCCCAAACTGAAAATATTATGTGCTCACTGGTGACTAGCTTCGATAGGATATTCTCGGAGTTCTAGTGATAAGCTCTGACCACAGGAGTTAAACTGTGTCGAGTGTGAGACAATTACTTATCAAAGACAAAATATGATGGGAGTACAATATTGTGAATTGGTTGAAGTTAGACCTGAACATCATTGGATTTCAGCTCAATGTTCTGATGGTTAAGTATTCGCGCAAGAGACAAAAGATCGTGGGTTCAAATCCTCTGCAGGAGGTTGTGGATGCACACTACTGGGGGGTCCCATACAAGGACGAAACAGCTATCAAAATCTTAGAGGTTTTCAGTGATGAACGAGCAATGATTGGTGCATGATTTCAATGAAATTCAATAGTCTCCACAACTTCAAACTTAAAATTCATCAACAGAATGTAATAATTACGTAATTTCATTTAGTTGCATACATATCAAACATAAAACGATTGACTTGAACATAGATTCAGATTAGTTAATATTTTCATTGTTGAATGCTTTATTCCTAGAAAACCGTAACATTGTCCAACGTTTAGCTCAATATTCACTGTACTACCATGTAATTTTATATTATGTAATATTTGAAATCAATTTTACATTTTGTGAAAAACAATTCCACTTAATATCATATCATCATAGTAATAATTCATAGAAGTACCTATTAAAAATAACAAATTGTATGCAAAACACACTTTTTGTAGATCATTTCACCATTTATTCTGCTTATGTGTGTGTGTGTGTGTATGTGTATGTATATGTCCATATGCGCATTTCGTTTTCTGTTTTGTTCCTCTTATTTAAATAACACTTAACTTTGTACTTATCGATTCATCTATTTGAAGGTTCCTTTTTTTAGTTTTACATGTTTTCCATTACCATTTGTGTGACCTCAATGAAAGATACCAATTACATTTTTTTCTTTTCTCCGTATTCCTTGTTGCGAATTACGACTAATATTGTTTTTTTTTTTTTTTTTTTAAAAAAATTAAATAGCGGGAAGCATCTCTGAAGGTGGTGACATGTTTTTTTTTGTATTTTTCTGGTCTTAAGGCGTAATGTGCTTTCTATCTATTCAAATGGATTCGATTAGAATAATTGTTTAGCTTTAAAAAAAATTCAGATTTGATCAATCCACTTCACTTTAGCCTTTGACCAATAATCAGACGATTATCATTCTCAGATGTTTTACGCAAAAACGTTTTATGTAAAAAATAAACTTAATAGAAAGCAAATAATGCTTTTTGTAGTATTAATGCCTTGATTGGATTTAATTTTGTCCACATATAATTGTTAAGCTGGTTAAGAAAGAGAAGTATATGTGATAATTTGAAGCGGTATGACAACTGTAGGGAATGTTTAATTTTTTAAAAAATTTGTTTATCACCTGATCTCATGCACGTCTTTCTTGAACCATTCTGTTTCAGTGAAAGACTAGTCGATCTAAGTTAGATAACCATTAAAAATTTGGAGGTACCTGACGCTCATCTTGTAAAAATATAAGACTTGTTAGGAGTGCTCATCCATGACCTTGCAATCAAGTCTTACATCCAAACGTCTAATCATCATTATCACATCATTATTTTTATGTTAATTTTAGCTTTAGTTCATAATAATGTCATTATTCAGACTTCGACTTTTAGTACAGATTAACTTAAATATTATCATAACCACTTTCAATCATTTATCAAAGTACTCCAACTTATACAAATTGATCTCCTCATAACCCTCTATTAAAAAATATTCTTTTGGACACTATTTACTACTATTTATAAATGTCACTATGAAGTTTTGTATGGAAAATACTACTGATCAGGATAGAGCAGTATTTTAAAATTATTTATAGTTCTATTCTGGTAAGCGTTTTTTTTAGTAAGGTTATTTTCTGCGGGATGAGGTTACTAACCCCATACCCAACTCTCCCCTTTGACCTGGGCTTGGGACCTACACTAACCTTACAAGAATTACAGGTGGAGTTCGATGGAGAATACTGATAGGCAGCCTATGCTCCTTTACGAGAGAAAACAGATGTTAGTAATACTTTTATTTAGTTTTATGTTTCAAAAAAATATAAATAAAATGTTTCACAATAGATCTAGATATTTGTATATGTATATAAATTGGCTATTTGATAAGTAATATTGTACTCTGTATTTTCATTTCATACGTTTCATTTATTTCTAAGACATCTGTCTATTGTTTCTATGCTTCCCATCATTGATTCATTCAATCTAGATTTCAATCACTTGTTTTAGGTTAGACAAATATAGAAACGAGCATAAACAATAGAAAAATCTAATACAAAACTGTATAGTTCCACTTCACTAATTTTGACATCTAAAAAAAAACACACACTAGAAAATCAACCGGAAGAAAGGAAAAAGAAAGTTTCTAAAAATAAATGAAAA